CGATCCCCCACTCTCTGAGTTGCGAGTTGTCGACAACGAGAGAGTAAACGTTTGGCCCAATTGAAACTGCTCGGGACTCCATGCTTGGATGAATGCTTCAGGGTCAACTTGAAAAAATATTTCGCTTATTCCAACACCTTTTAAGCTTTTAGCTTCGCACTTTAATCCGTGATTCGAGTCCTCTCCGTTCGAGAGCGGGCTGTCTAGACGACGCATGGTCGTTTATTAGATTCTTGCTCGCGTTATTTTTTTTATTTTTTTTTTACGTAGTATGTAGTTATTTGACCAAGGGTACTCTTGGTCCAAAAACTCTTCCGTTGGGGTTGGTACGCGAGGTCGGACCTCGTGCCCCCTTAGGGTACGTTAGCCGCTTAGGCCTAGTCCTGTTGGACTAAGCCACCAAGCTCTTCCGTCGGGGTTGGTACGCGAGGTTGGACCTCGTGCCCCCTTAGGGTGCGCTACCGGCATGAGCCAAGTCCTGCCGGACTAAGCCATCGGATTCTCCCGTCGAGGTTGGTACGCGAGGTCGGACCTTGTGCCCCCTTAGGGTGCGCAAGCCGCTTGGGCCGAGTCCTGCCGGACTAAGCCACCGAGCTCTTCCGTCGGGGTTAGTACGCGAGGTCAGACCTCGTGCCCCCTTAGGGTGATAGCGCTTTGACCCGATTCATTTGACACTAGGCCGTTAGGCTCTTCCGTCGGGGTTAGTACGCGAGGTCAGACCTCGTGCCCCCTTAGGGTGATAGCGCTTTGACCCGAGTCATTTGACATTGGGCCATTAGGCTCTTCCGTCGGGGTTGGTACGCGAGGTCAGACCTCGTGCCCCCTTAGGGTGATAGCGCTTTGACCCGAGTCATTTGACACTGGGCCATTAGGCTCTTCCGTTGGGGTTGGTACGCGAGGTCAGACCTCGTGCCCCTTAGGGTGATAGCGCTTTAACCCGAGTCATTTGACATTGGGTCGTTAGGCTCTTCCGTCGGGGTTGGTACGCGAGGTCAGATCTCGTGCCCCCTTAGGATACGATAGCCCTTCGAACCGAGCACTTTGATCTCGGGCCGTCAGGCTCTTCCGTCGGGTAGCTAGCGGGATCGGATCCCGTGCCTACCCTTAGGGAATAGAGTGAGCAAGCTCGAACAAATTGGAATTAAATTCAGTGACCGTTGGTCTGGAGTCCTTGGTCCTGGCCTCTCTCCCACCTCGGAATGGAAAAATTTTTCGAACTTGGGCTAATTTTGCAATCCAACAAATATTTTATTCTAATAAAACAGATTGTTGGTCGGACCAACATAAATGGAATATGCCAATAATAGGCTCTTCCATCAAGCAGTGGGCGGGGGCGAATCCCGTACCACCGCTAGGGAGTGCCAAGGTCAGGGCCGGCACGCAGGACCGTGACAATGAATATATTAATTATTTTGCCCAGGCGAGGTCGGACCTCACAACGCCAGAGAACCAATAATAATAATAATAATAATAATAATAATAATAATAATAATAAAAAATAATAAACCACGGTGTGTTTCCCCCTTACTGCAGCAGATTCCTTTGATTCTTGCTTCATGATTTCAAAAGCAGTTTGAGCTTAGCTTGGTCCACATCATGTTGCCATGACATAGAGGTTCATGCCTCCTTCATGGTTCCCTTGAGGGCATCATTAGCAGAGCTTGTAGGTTTGAGGAATACCAGCTAAGTGAATTTATTCCCCACGCATGGCGGCTCTGAGCCTAATATTCTTCAGTGATGCAGAAAACTGTGGAGCCTGCTATGAGATAAGGTGTGTAATTGCAAGAAAAGCCATAAATCTTTGGTGATCGTAGTCATTAATTTGAGCTTTGCAAGTGATGCATCACCACATATACATTTAGACTTATCTCAATAGGCATTTCTCCGAATCGCAAAGGGGTAGCGATGCTCCTGTCCAATATCCATCTCCAATATACTTTCTGGTGGAGGTGTTTTGTTGCTGCTACGTCACTTTGAGCATGATAAAACGGGTTCATAGTGAGGTTAAAAACTGCCAGGGAGTTATCACGGTGATCCAAAAAATGATTCAAGCAGGCTCTAAGCGGTTAGAGTTTCATCAAGAGTTCAAAGAGATCACAATATTCCGGTCACTAGTTCCACTATTCCAGGCCGAATGTGCCTCACGCATCATCGCCTTTGCCCCAGAAATCTCTCACATGCATTCTAAATTGCTGCCATTCTCCCATAAACAGACCCAATAACATTGTTAAGAACCACAATCTCTACAGTTGTATTTGTCACAATGGTAGACATTGCTGCTATTCTGATTTATTCCAATTTGCAGCTGCGATTACGCCGGGGCTTCCTTAGAGAACCCCGCTTCAGTCTAACTGCCTCCCCCACTGCGGGCACTGTCACAGAGTCTCGCCATCTTTGCCGTGTCGCTTTCGGAGAGCGATGTAGATGGCTCTACTTCCGGCGGTGGCGTTGTGATATGAATAATGATAATGCTTCATCCGATATTCTGCCCAAGCCGTGGACACTGTGTTTGAAGTAACATAATTGTAGATACGTGATAGAGAGATCGAAGCGCTCCACTTCGCACCTCCTTCATGTGACCCAAAACTCCCGCAACTGCCCGGGCAAAGGGGCGGAAGTTCCGGTTTGTTCGCCACACTCATCGTCAACAACAATTTCTTCATAAGAGAAGTTTATTGAGGTTAAGGTCTGAAGCATCGGCGCCCCATTGAGATCTTGGATTTGAGCCATTAGCGCCCCTGGGGCTGTTTCCGGTCGCCGATGTCAGGCTGGATCCAAACTGTAGCAGCGAAGCCCGAGCCAAGGACAACATGTGGTGCGCGCCTGTGAAGTCGCTGCGCTCGGCTTCCGCTCGCGTGGACACGAAGAGGCTCCTTAGAGTTGAGCCAATCACCATGGCTTCACGCTCACAGAAGGCAGGCAGCGCCGCACTGTTGTGGTTTATGATCCGAGGAAGCACTGTCATACCGCGGAGGACAAGAAACTGGGCGGCAGATGGTCTCTGGGACGCATCGTGGAAAAGCCATCAAGGTCACCATGGACTACGCGAAGAAGATCGAGGGAGATCCTTAATTTGTTGTTCTGATGGGGATTGTGTCAAATTTTCGAATTGATTCAGCAGGGAATTAATAATGAGACCCAAAATTTTCCCATCAGGAAACAACAGGAACAACAGGTTCCAAAATGCTCAGATGCTGATGAAGAAGCCATGACCCCGTCATCGAAGAGTTTTTCGCCGAGACCAGGAAATCGGTTGTGTATTACCTATTGAAGATTTGCAGAGCTGTGGCGGCGGGCATGGAGTGGACATGATGCCATTGCTTAAGGACCAGATCTTCTAGTGCCGACGATTCATGCTATCATGCGCCATTCTTCGGGCCTACAACGGGTGGCTCGGTTCCGGCGGCGGCGAGCCAGTGATCGGAGGATGATGCGAGGACCATCGATGCGGTTGCGCGAGGCGGCAACGAAGCATATCAAGGAGAGGCAGAGCAATTGGGGCTGCCCGAAGCCTATCGTCAGCCTAGATCTTATTTGGAACTTAGCTTTGATCATAGTTTTGATTTCTGCATGTTGGAAATTGGAAAATATAACAGCTGGTAGTGGAAAATGGCCATGCAACTCAGACGCTGCGGAAGAATATAGGCATGGATAGTGCGCATTGCGCTGGAGTGCGAGCAACGGACGGACAATGACAAGAACAAGTTCTTGGACAGGGTGATTTGATCCATGTTTTGCGATTGAAAAATAGTTTATCGTGGTAGTAATGTTAGACAAAAGTAGAGAGCACGCTCGAGCTTATACAACCGCTCGAGTCAATGATGGATTTAATTAACCCGGGGTCCGAGTTATTAAATCCTATAAATAAACGAAATAATAAATGGATAGCCAAGGTAAAATAATGGCGAAATAAATATATATCGCGGAGACAATTTTGTATTGATTAGTGAATTGATAAGCCGATTACAACAGGTGTAAAGCTATTATAGTAGAAGAACAAGACAAGATAGAAGGTGTCCTTAATAGGACAAATACATGCCTATTTATACAAAATAATCCTAACTAACTCGCTAATTGCATGATGGGCCAAAAGACTAAGTTAAGGCCCATGCGGTGGGTCGTAGGAATAAGTCCAAGCCCATGCGGTGGACCGTGAGACTAAGTCAAGGCCCATCATTCTCGGCCCGTAGGCAGGCTCCGGGCTTGAGAATCTTCTTGGTCTGCTCGTGTTATACATCCTGGATCCCGGGTCTCTATTATTATTGGGCCATTTCCAATATATCCATCACCTATTATTTATCATTTAATTACAAAGTTATTTGAGTTGGACCCCGAGTCAATATAATCCATCAAAAAGAATTGTGCAAATAAATATATGTGGCATTTGATTCAACTAACACTTATTTTGCCCTACTGTCCGATTCCAATTATAATATTTGTTTGCTTACTTTTGATAAGCTAATATTGGATTCAAATCATTTAGTAATCATAACTGTTCTTTACATTCTATTCTCTTACTTTTGAATAATGAAATGAAAACTGAAGAAGAAAAAATATTAAAGAAAAATTTAAAAGTCATTCTGCACGCGCATTCAGTGTAGAATTTTAATACACACACACATACATACATATATATATATATATATATATATATATATATATATATATATATATATATATATATATATATATATATATATATATAGGGAAGGGTTTAGGTGCGGGTATAGCTTCCCGTGTGGTTGTGCAGTTAGATCTGAGTCGTTGATCAAATCTAGATCAACGGCTCAAATCAATGAAAAAAAAAAAAAAAACACCGTGTCTGGAAGAAAGAAGCATAAGCTAAAAATGACGCACTTTAAGTGATAGAAACACACACCTTAAGTGTTAGATCTTAAGCACAAACTCACGCACATCAAGTACAAAACCCACGCACATAAATCAAGAACTATCTACCCAAGACCAGAGTGATGAACCAATCAAACCCCATTATATTATGATTGATCAAATAAATTTATTTCATGAAAGGATCTAGTTTCAAGTTTTCTCTCACAAGAAAAAAAAAAGCATTATTCAAACAGATATGAATACTAATTTAATTAAAACTTTATATTATTTGCATTTATGCATACAAATAGGCTAGAAATGTTCAAAAAAGGATTTCACACTGTAAGGTCGGACAAAGTTGGGATCCCCATTCCAAAGCAATGTAGCAGTTAATTGGTTGAACTTCTCTGTGGGGTGAACAAAATCAAAAAACAAATAATCCCCAACATCTTTGCATAACTCGTACTCTTTAAATTGCCTTCTTTCTCCTCCACAGCTTGGTAGTCCTCTATAAGGACCGCTACCGCAACATGCTGTCTTTGCCTCTTTCAAACCTTAAAGCACACAGCATAAATAAAACATACTGAGTATAAGTTTTAAACAAAATGTTACTCCCTCTGTCCTGTTTTATCTGTTCTACTTACTTTTCATTGGTCAAACTAACTTTTTCTTTCTTTGTTTATTTCTATTAACATTTTCTTATAATTTTTATAAATTTGATTTTTTGTGTTTAATAGTACTTTTTAGAGTTAATTCCACCAGAGGTCCCTTGTCTTTGGTGACAATTCTAAATTTAGTCTCAGACTATCGTTTTTGCCATTTTACATCTTATACTATCATTTTTTGGACACTTTTGATCCTTATGATTTTTTCTATTTTTAGTAAGGACATTTTTGTCTCTTCATTTTTTTTGGTTATTTTTCCGGTTTTAACCGGTTTAATTGATTTAGAACTTTAGGTAACATCTGACTTTTAGTAACCATAATTTTCAACCGACTTTTAGTAAAGTTCTAAACCAATTAACCCGGTTGAAACCGAAAAAATTACAAAAGAAAAATATGAACAGACAAACGTGCCCTTACAAAAAATAGAAAAAAATTATAAAAATGACCAAAAGTGTCCAAAAAATGATAGTCTGGATGTAAAATGGCAAAAACAATAGTCTGGGACTAAATTTGGAATTGCCACCAAAGACAAAGGACCTCTAGTGGAATTAACTCTACTTTTTATGTAGTTTCTAAATATATAAATTTTACGTACTAATTCTGAACTTAGTATTATGAAAAATTAAATTGTAAATAACTTCAATCCAGACTCGTTAACAGATAAGACACATAAAATGGGGTAGAGGGAGTAATATTTTTGAAAAGTTAACTCATGTTTTGGAAGTCAAACCCATATTTAACTGTCTCATTAACCAATACATATTTCATACAAGTTTTTGGTGTTAGTGTATAAAAAGAGATGATGATGAGTGAATACATGAACATACCATATCTTGATGGATGATCGATTGCGTTATTTACAGCCGTGAAGAAATCGAAGTATGAATACTTAAACTCTTGTAATGTCTTCTCCAGATTGATGAGCTTTCTTGGTAAAGCCTTATTATGCATCTCTGTCAAAACCTGGAGTTCCTTAAAGCAGCCAGTTCTATTCGTTTGTTGAAGCTTGAGAGCCCTAGAAAATGGTATGCAGCCTAAAGGTGACACTGAATAAATGACAAATTTTCTTCCTCCTTCCATGTATATTTCCTGTATGTTGAAATCGAGAAGCATTAATGTGTGCAGTGTGTGTGGGTAAATTAGAAATTGTAAACATAGCCCGCACGAGTAGCTCGGTTAGTTTTTGGTTGACACTTGGCAAATTGTGGGTGAGTATGCATGATTAAATCTTCATAGCGCGGTAGTGTGGTGGTCTATAAAGAAATAAAGTTGTATCTTCGCTACTAGCTATAGTTTTTGGCGTAATGATTAACGTTGTTTGATCTAACAAGTAGTATCAGAGTCAAGTCACGGGTTCGAGTTGAGTCCCAGCAAAAACAATTCAGATTGGTGGATGCTGGGAGGGGATTGTTGGGCAGAGGCCGGTAAGGACCAAGTCCAACAACTGATGGATAGGAGGATTGTTGGATGGAGGTCGGTGAAGGGCCAAGTCCAGCACCGTGCCTCTTAAAAATGTTATGGCAGTCTATAAGGAAAAAAAGTTGTGCTTTCGCTACTAACTATAGTTTTTGACGTAGTGGTAAGCGTTTGATCCTAACAAGTGGTATCAGAACCAGGCCACGGGTTTGAGTGTCGAGCACCTTGGCTCTTGAAAATGTGTGGCGGTACGGTATAAGAAAATAAATAGCTAAAGCTTTTGGCGTAGTTGAAACTGTGTGGCGGTCTAAGAACATAAATTTACACCTTCACTATTAGCTATAACATAATTTTTGAGGTATGTAGTGGTAAGCGCTTGATCCTAATAGTCTCTTTGTGGCATTAGACACTAGGATTTCATCTTTTTTTGGGCAAGAACTTGAAAACATAGATGATTAATAATAGAAGTTACCTTAATTGCATTAATGATATTACCAATCACCATGTCAACGTATTCCTCATGAGTATATGTATTAAGGATGGTGGAATTTGTAATAAAGGGGCCTAGGTAGTCATTGCTGCCAATGCAAATCATGTAAACAGCACTAGACAGCAGTTTGTTTGAGTCTTTCTCCCCCAACTTCCCCTTCAACTGTTTTGCAACATTCTTGAAATACTGCACCTGCTTTTTAAGGTCAATTACCTGCACAAGAATGCTAAAATGCTAAAATTAAAAAAAAAACTGCTCAAAAGAGTTATTAGCTAACAACATTTTCTGTAAACTTTTTGAGAAAGTCATTTTACAAGTAATCAGCTATGACAATTAATTTACCAAACATCTTTCTACAATTATCATCTGATGCTATTAACTAGTTAAACTCACTAACTCAATAAGCTGACAGCTATGAGCTATTTATCAAACACCCCAAAAATAAATCACTAACCAAACCAGAATAGGTTTCAGGAAGACTGCCAGCGCCACCCGATGCAAAGTTCACCCCATTAACAAATCCACCACCTTGCTCCGCCTGGAAATACCCCGGAATTAATGGCAGCTTAGCAAACTCGGCTGAGCAGTACGTACGTATAAACAAACATGATCATATTAGTGAGGGCATCAATCAGCCATTTAAAATTGCATAGAATTAAGCAATTAGAAGGCTTACCAATAAAATCGGGCACGATACGGCCATCACAAAACCTGCCTGTTGGGTCCTTGAAAAAAGACTCACCATACGGCCAAAAATTAGCCTGCAGAAGAGTAGTGGTATTGATGTAGTTATTGTTGCCAGGATCAAAGAGTGAGTCCCCAAACGCAAAGAGGGCTACATTATGCTTCTTCTCATTATTATGATGGGCTAAACAAAGCACTGGAGAAGCTAATAAGCTGCCAAGCAAAGCCAATGAAAAGACATATGAATAATACAAACTTGCCATTCCAAGAAGTGGGTGGTTGATTCGATAATGTCCAGTCGCTCTTGTTAGGATGAATTTATTATAATGCTATTACTTGGAACTGTTTTCTTGAGAGTTGAGTAATTATATTATTTGACTTGACTGTCTCGCTCGGCCTATTGCACTAAAATAGTCTATTCTTTTTGTGGGAATTTGAACTTTTAGATTGGAAGGATCTTTCAGAAAATATTTTTATATAAATGTACTAGGACTGGTTCCATTATTCACCAATGAAATTCAACTACACATGTTCTTGATAGGATGAAAGTAGGAAATTAGTGTATTTTACCGGCCTTTTGCCTTTAAAGTTGAGAGTCATCAGCAGCAAGTAGCTATACAATTGACACAAGTATTTATTTTCAAATATATATATATATATAAAATTATTCCGACGACTTTGACCATGTATACATTGTCTGCTTTTGTCTGTAAACAAAATTAATTAAGCAGACAATCTTGACCAATCAGCAATATTCAACTTGCTTTTTATTATTATTATTATTTTTTTATTTTTTTATTCTCTATTTCAGTAAATTTCAACACGGAGAAACCCACACTTATTTCAATGATGATTGATATGGTGAAACTTTTTTAGGCACACTAGAATTATTCTTCCTCTCCTTATATTATATTATTAAGAATATTATCATTTATCATTTCTATCGAAACTTTCTGCATCCTCATAAATATATCACTTCATCATTTATTTTATATCATCATGAATTGATCAATAATAAAATTATGCTCAGAATTATTGTTCTCATCCTAACGTACGTATGGATGAGTTTAGTATGAGGAATAAATAATGTCTTTATGAAAAAAAAAAAGAAAAGAAAAGGTGTTCAACACAATCCTCAAAACGTGTGACATCAAGAGGAGTTCTGAAACCTACAAAGTTAATTATTTTTGGAGCTAAAATATAGTAAAGGTATTGGTTAATACCTAGTAGCCAAAAAACTGCAGCGTAAAAGGAGGAAATGATAGCCTTTGGCGACCACCATCTAAGATGGGTGCAAGAAGATTATATCCATCTGACCAGGGCTATGACTGATCACATGCCAAGACAAAGACAAAGTTATAGGAGGTATCCCAGACATCAAAATACTTCCAGATGCACAAAAATTTCAAAGACCCTAAAACAATTTTCAAAATGGTGCACCCAAACGATTTTTCGAATTTTCATTTGATTAAGACCTTGAATGGGAAAGAAGAATGGTTCAAATACCTCACAGTGGTCTAGAGCTATCTCATAAACCCCACATAACTAACCTCAGAGGACACAAATTTTCTTGGGTACCAAAATCCTTGATCAACTGATTTACCAGGAACTAGTTAAAAACAGCTAAGTATTATAAGGACAAGAAAATTATCAAGAGTGGCTGTTCGAAGACACAAATCTAATAAGTGGTACCAACAAGTTAGAAAAAACAAAAACAAAAACTAAATCAGCATATGTATCACTAGTAGCCAAAAGTTTAGATCAGCTAAGTTAGCTATCACACAAGAAGGAACAAAAGGCTACAACTGAAAAGAAGATATAGATTTTGATGAAAACTTCTACAACAAAGAAAAAAGGCATCCTGAACGATGACCCAAGAGCATAAACTCCACTATATCTCACTGGCAGTAGACTGGATATCTCACTTAATGGTGGAAGGTGTTTGAAAAATAGTATAAAATGACATTTTAAGTAGATATTTTATGGTACAAATATTAGTGGGGTTCACTTCCGATTGGGTTGGGTCAATGTGGATTCGGGTTCTTCGTAGTGAGAAGAAGAGATTGCTATATTGTACGCTCAAAACGGAGAATGGGTGAATGAGAAATTGATTTTCAAAGTAGACCCATTTGAGTTGGAAAAATGAAGGGGAAATGCTACTTTAAAGTAGCCTTTGTCTCACATTAGTTTGGGAAGTGGGTATGCACCACTATTATTTATACAAGAGTCTTTCTACGGCTTATTGAATTGTATAGTATAGATGCTCTTTCTCTCGCGTGCAAGGGGGAGGGGGGGGGGGGGGTGCAGATCAAATCCCAAAATGATTCTGAAAAGGCTTGACTTGTGTATGCCGGCACCTGCAGGCTAAGTATGCCAAATTTTCGCATCATTTTTCCAACAAACAGCCACTCGGCGGGCCGCGATTCTGCTCAGCCAACCACTGCCAACGATTCGGCCAACCACAATGGATGGTAAGCGAATCGGCCAACCAGAATGGTTATCTAACGATTCGTCCGTGCTAACCATCGGCTCGCCATTCGCCCAACTCGGGTACGTTAACCACTCGATACCTCTTATCTCGTAAGTACCACTCAGGTAGCAACCGTTCTGGGTCTTATTTCATTAGTTCAATGTTGCAAAACACGCTAGGCGCTGATTTTTTATTTTTTATTTTATTTTATTTTTATTTTTTTTAATTTTTTTAAATTAAAAATAAAATTAAAAATTAAAATTTTTTAAAATTTAGTAATAAAACATAAGGTTTCCATAGTTATTTCTTAGAAATTATTTACGAAAGTGGTTGTAAAAGTGTTCAAAAGATTGTTTAAACCATCTAAATACATAAAAAACTAAAATTAAGAGCTAAAGAAGCATTTTTTTGAGAAATTAGTGGACCAAACCGCCTTCGGCTATTTGCGGTGGATAGATCTCGAAAAAATACGCGATTTGAAAAAAAAAATTGTCCAAAACGGACAACCGAGTCAAAAGTTATGCCTTCCCGAACTTTTCGTAAAAAAAAAAAATTAAAAATTAAAAAATTTAAGCGGTCTAGGCGCCGGTTCAGCCGGCTAGGCGGTCTAGGCGGCCGCCTAGACCGGGTAGCCGGCCGGCCGCGGAGGAGGCCGATTCTGGCCTTCTTCGCGGCGGCGGCCGGGCGCCTAGCGCCTAGGCGCCGATTAATCGGCGCCTAGGCGCGATTTTTGCAACCTTGCATTAGTTACAGAATTCATTTTGAATTAATTCCAATTTTAAATTACATATTTAATAGTCGGGTGATGGTCTATTGTTACAGAGGCCAAGTTTAAAAGATTGATTTATTATCAGTTTTAATGCCATGGTTAAATGATATTTAATCCTTCAACTCCTATATAAGTTGTTGTTGAGAAGCATATTTTACACACAACGAAATCTTCTTTTACTCTCTCGAAACTTTGTTCCTCCTCCTTTCTTAATCTCCTGTGTTCATCCCACGTTCTTGTTCACTGGCTTCTAAGTTTGAGTGCTCATAACTTAGCACCGTGGTACGTTTTATCCTGGGAAACCTATGTCGCAACGCTCCTACCACCTTTGGGGGATGGAAAATACGGTTTGAAGGAAAAAGTGTTTCGCTCAACTCGTACTAACCACCTACTAGAAAATTCCCTTCGTTCTTGTGCTTGTTATTATTATTTTTTTTTTCCAGAAATATTATTTTCATAGTAATATTTTATAACAGAAAGTGCACAAGGATTCAAGTTAAACACTTGCAAGCAGCAAAAAGAGACACTTAGAGATTTAAATGGCACTACTTAAGACATCAATTTATAGGTATGATATGAACGATTGTTCTTGAGCTAACAACTTATTTTAGTGAAGAAATTGCAGGCTACAAGATGAACAAGAGAATCGTCTACAAGCACATGCAAGTTCTTAGGGGAAGGCATGCATTGTGGACATGTCTTAATTATGAGGGTAAGTGCATTACAACAGGAACTGAGGTGTGTAGATGGTTAGATCAACTGTACTCAATAGCGAAAACCGAAACGATGAAACTCACTCGAAAAACGTCAAAATGGCAACTTGCACTGAAGGGTTTCTCTATCCAAGGAAGTTATCATTTTCCATCTATTTAAAGGGTTTCATGTTGACACTTTGAAATATAAAATCCTTCTCTTTGCAAGTATTCTCTTCATTTTCTTGTTTTAGAAAATTACTAAGGAAGAAGATAGTGGTGACAAAAGGCTTAGGGGAGTTCACTATTGAAATAGTGAACAACGACCAACAGAACTAACAAACCAGAAGAGCACTGAGGAGCTGTATGAGGATGGTGAGCGACAACATCACATGAGGCCTAGAGGAGTTCACCATTACTCCAGAAATGCTGAACGATGATAGAATAACAAAGAAGTTCAACAGAACCATGGAGAAAAACAATAAGCTCCATCCTCTAGATACCGAAGCCATCATCGTCGACTATGAAACAACATCGGAAAGCCTCCTTGACTCAACCTAGAAGAAGTCTAACTACCCTAATATGCTTTATGCTCAATCTCAACTAGGAGGTAACATGATTTCCCATACACCAAGCGAAAAGGTCTTGTTCTAATCAATGCTTTTTAAGCCGTGCGAAATGCCCAAAACGCGTCATCCAACTTGTCTGCCCAATCTTTTCTATGCCTTGTCACGGTTCTCCAAGATGGCCTTAATATCCCGATTAGCATTTTCCACTTGACCACTTGTTTGGTGGTGATAAGGAACCCCACCCCTATGATGCACATCGTATTTCTTAAGCACCTTTGCCAAGGGGATATTCCGAAAGTGACTTCCTCTATCACTAATGATAAATCTTGGTACTCCAAACCTTGAAAAGAGTTTTTTGAGGAACCTAATAACACTATGAGCATCATTAGTGCTAAGGGCTTTGTCCTCCACCCATTTGGAAACATAATCAATGGCCACCAAAATATACTTGAAACCCTTGGAACTAGGGAATGGACCAACAGAGTCTAGACCCCACACATCAAATACTTCACATGTTAGAATGAACGTTTGGGGCATCTCATCCCTATTTATAACATTTCCAACTCATTGGCAATGGTCATAATTTTGCACAAAAGCTTGTGCATCCTGGAACAATGACGACCAATAAAACCCTGACTAACTATTAGAGCATGTAGTAGAAGGGAAAAATCAAAAGTAGTTAAGGACTTTCTTGTCTTTGATCTTCAAGGTGGTTATAACTACTTTTGGCGCCATTCCTTTGTATATAAGCTCTTCATGTATTCGGCTAATAGAATTCAATGAAACAGTTTACAACCCTTTCTCATCTCAATGTCTCTCTGCAACTTGTGATCATCTTGGCTAATCTCCATCATGGTATCAGAGCCATGGAGGACGTCCTATGCCGGAGCAGTTATCGGCGTTGGAGAAGCTAGTCAGCCACCGCAACCACGGACGAATCAACCACCGATCAATGCA